CTAGATATAAATAATAGTTTCAACGTTTTTGCAAAGTTGAAGACTGGAAGAAAGTTCAAACCGTTAAGCAAAAATGCCCCAGATAAATAAACTGAACATTTTTCTGGGTTTTCAAAGGAGGACCATTTCTGACAATGTCCACTATGGCATTTATACTTGATATGTAATACAGCGCCTTTCGTAAACCGTTTAATGTCTGTAATTGGGGACTTACAGATAGCACAAAATGTAAAAAGAGTCATTAGAGCTTTAGTTTGCTCCAACACATACAAATTTAGTTGAAAATTATTTTATATCACTGCTCTCCATAATTTCTTCATCACTTGTACAGTCGTTTATGCAGTCATCGTTTTTTTTTTCACTGGTTTCACTGATACTTTGCTTCTCAGTGTCACTGCTAGGAAAAGTTAACTCGGAAGAATGAATTGATGTACTATCAGAATCATTCTCAAAAAGCATTGAATACTTGTGGTACACTTCTTTACCTAGTTCACACTGAATACCTATTTTTTCAGTTATGACTTGACAGACAAATTTGTCTGTATCCATGGGTTCATTCAATAAATCAACAGGCTTTGCATTAGACATATCTTTCAATGGAGCCATTATTTGTTTATCGAGCTCAATCTGAGTCTCTGCTATAACTTTTTTACGGATATATTTAGATTTTCTCAGAGAAACAGCAATTTTTTTTGGTTTACTTCCTAGCAGAAGACAAGGGACGGCTGTTTTTTTCAGCAAGCTTTTAATTTTTTCATTCGGTAGCAATGATCTAATTAAATTGTTTGCAAAATCTTCTTCCTTGAAATGCGAGCTACATACGATGTTATTTGAATTTGGATAGCAGTGGCGGCTCGTGACAATCCAAACTGGTGAGGCCCAAAGCCCACCGTATTTCTGAACTAACCCAAACAAACCCTAAACAAATTTTTGAGTGCCACGCCTATTAATCCAAAAATTCATTAAAAAAACACACTTTCAGGTCGTTGAGAGAAGGAAGTTTCTAGCAAAGACAAAACAATATTGTGAGAGGGATTCATTTTACACTCCTAGAATACCTAATTATAAATTATAATTAAATTGTAATTGGCACCTCCATTCAGCAATACAACAATACGGGCAACAATATCAATTATTATTAACAGTATTTTAACCCGCAACAGACAAAAATAAAAGGTACGCGCCAATTAAATCACGCACTGACATTTGCTACTTGTCGCAACAGCAAGAGATGCAAGGTTTTTCCGTTAGTAAGCCCAAAATTGTGCGCCTCAATAAGTACAAAATTTCGCTATCGTCTCGCCTACAGTTCAAGGGTTGTGGTGGGGAGTGGCATGGCATCGCATCGGCGTTCTGTGACGCACATGAGGCAAACATTTTTGGGATTGCTATTTTATTTTTACGCTGTCCGGCAACGATTTGAGCGCCTATAAGGATAAATAGGCAGAATCGCGCGCTAAATTCAAGAGATAGTATTAAACTTCGTTGAAAATTTGATGTTTTTATACTTTCAATGGTTGAAAATAGTTGAAAAACGTTAAATATTTAATAAATATTATTTCAAAACTTTACATCATTATTGTAATTTTTACATGTGAGGCCCGGCCTCAGTTGCTTTATACGACGAGCCGCCACTGTTGGATAGAAATTTTTACGATCGATTAGTTTTTTCCAGGCTTTATAACGTTTTGGTTCTTTCTCGCTGCTAGGGAATTGATGGAGCGTCGCTGAAGAGTTTTTTCGGTTGTTATTACAACCCACAACACAACAATTAACCATTGTTAGTTTTCTGAAACAATAATAACACTTACTAAAAACTATTACTGATCACTTTCTAAACAAATAAACAGGTTATGACATGATTAGAGCGGAGCACGCGATAACTCAACGTATACGGTTCGTTTGCCGCTTCTGGCGATTCGCTGGTGTGACGTCACCAGGCTCAAGCCCGGTATCTTCATGAGGGATTATCTCCGGTACTATTCTGAGTAGAGGAGTGCGGTTTTCACGAGAGTTCTTAGTTATTTTTTCTCAATTTAATGAACTAAAGTTGTTTTTTTGGGTCACACCCCCTTTAAGGGCCGGTTTATCAATCAAGGGATAACTCGCAGAGTTTGCTGGCCCTGGGTTAACTCTAAGGCTTTGCTAACTACCTACTCAATTCGAAAAGTGTTTATCCAAGCTTTTTCAACCCAAAGCTGGTAGACTCTCGGGTTCTTTGAAGGTTGGCATTACTTATGCAACGTTGCCAGCTCACTTTTATCAATTTTTTGACATTTTCTGCTCATAACCTTACTTTTTTATGGTATTTTTTGTCTCGGTAACGAAAATTTCGGTATCGTGTCCTTATACCTATTCTGTGTGGAAATATGTTGTTTTGTTTTAAAGAAAAGAACATGTCTGACAGAAAAAACCACAAGCATAGGTACTTACGTGGTACCTAGCTGTCTGTGGGGACTTTGAGACTATGTTCGATTTTCGATTTTTTCTAGAACAAATAAGATTATTTCTTTTCGTAAGCGAAAACGCGCCGAAGTCATCAAAATCGTCAAAGAGATTAGGGATTTGACTTCAACCTTACGTGGTAGGGGCGTCGCTCATGTTCTAGAAATTCTAGAACATCTCGATCATCATCACTGAAATCTAGGTCCTTCATCTGTTCAGAATTTTGAAAATTTAAGCCAAAACCACAACATTCGAAAAAATTTAGACAAAAAATAACAAAAAATGTTGGGGTTAACCCAGGGTCAAATACGCTAACTTGCTGTGAGAGCGGAATAACTTTCGAGTTAGCAGTTGACCCTGGATAGATAAACACTTGTCACAACTTTGACCCAGGGTTATCCCTCACTCATGGGGTAACCCTCTATAGATAAATCGGCCCTTAGGTCAGCGAGGTAAAGACATAACTTATACAATCCCTTACAAAAAGTTATTTTTTGAAGGCTTCAACTAAACGTTTTTGGGCGTGACACCCAATGCGACACCCGAAAAAAAATTCTTCCTATGGCAGCGCCTGCCTGCGCCGAGCCTTCATCATTATGAAAACCCCCCCCCCCCCCAAATAAAAAACTTGGGTGCGCCACTGTTTGAGCGGGTTTTCAAGTTTACATAGTCTGTCTTTGTCCAAACATTTTTTCTCAGTTCAGTCCTAATAACGAATGTCGTTGAAGAAGGTAATTTCAAAATTTGTAATTTGTTAATAATTTTAGAAAGTACTAGCTGACCCGGCGAACTTCGTACCGCCTCTGAATTATTAAATATACCTATTAAATGTTGTGTTAACGTAATAACGTATCTATTAGCTGAATTGAATTCAGTTTTTTTCGATGGTGAATTTGGCTTTGGTTGAAGAAAATTAATGTTTACTCTCTGGATTTGAAGTCACCTAAAATTAAAATTTTACATCATCCTTTTTTAGGCAACTTGTGGGCATTATTCTTGTAAAGTGTACCACCAAATAAATAAACTCAGGCACAGGAATGTTCAAAGAATGTAAAGAAAACAAAAAAAATCTCTAGCGCAGCCCTGTTTCACTCTTTCTGCACTGCACTATTCCATCTGTTCTACTCTATCTGCACTACTCTATCTGATCTACTCTTTCTGCATCACTCTATCTGATCGGAATAGTGGAATAGTTCTGTTCGAAATAGCTCCAGTTCCTGAGCAGCATTGTTCTACTGTATCTGCAATACTGAGCTTCGTTCCAGGTATCAGAGATGGCGCGGTATACAAAATACAAAATACAATATAAACTTGGTATCGGTTATAAGAGATGGCGCCGTATGCGGGCTTAGTAAATTTTTTTCATAAATAAATAAAATAAGTAATGAAATGACCACATTAAGTAATGACATAACAACATGCTGGTACTGTCAACGCTGAAAAAAGTTTCAATTTGACAGCAAAATCCCCATTAACAAAATGATCCTCCATTTATTGAATAATTCATTTATTACAAAAAATGTGATAAATGAAGAACCGCTCAACCGATTTTGTGCAAACTTCACATAAACCATCTAATAAATAGTCCGAACAAAGCCTAAACATTTGGTTTGGCTAGGTGAGCCCGTTCTTGAGTTATAAAATTACAACGAAAAGTGGCAATAATTTTTATATATATAGATATAGATGTAAATATTTACCTATGGAAATTATTCCCATTAATTAATAGATAATCAACAGCTTACATTTTGTCGGTCGTTTTTGATCTGACACTTTCCGTATGAGAAGCGAGGGGATGAAGCTCATGGCAAAAACAGGTACGACGACAGATGTCCATTGGCGTTCTAGCATAGGGAGCCACCAACTCATAGTCCTTTGGAGTATCAGATTAAAATCGACGGACTGTATTAGATATATCAATAATGAATAATGTAACTTTTCAGGTAATTTGTGACACTTGTGGTGCGGAGAATTGTAACCATATGGCTGGTGAGGAGACTAACTATTTGTTGACGTTGGAGACTCAGGAATCGGAAACTGATACAGAGTAAGCATATTTAGCAATACAGTATTAGATATTTTATGATATTTTGTCCTCTACAAAAGAATTGATGAACAGTCCCAATCAGAGCCTTCTTCCAATGATTCTACATTCGAGGAACTTTTAATAGCAGAGGTAAAGGCAAGACCTGTCATCTGGAACTCAAGACTAAAAAGATCACAAAGGGGTAAAACAGAAAACATCAAACTATGGCTGCAGATAGCCAAGTTCTTTGCCAGTGAGTATTTTTGTGTTTGATAACCCTGTATATTTTTCTATTTTCTGACCACCCTGTACATGCTATTTCAAGTTTTAATAGTTTAATACTATTTTTTCAAGAAGCAGAAACTTTTATAAAGAATAACATTTTCGTGAAATTGATAATAAAAAAGTTTCCCATATGCTGCGAACTTAAGTGGACACACTGTATATCCTTTTGATTTATTTTTAGACCAATATTCCATTCAGTATTTACAAAAAGAATGGCGAAATCTAAAGGCTCAGTTTATAAAAGCAAGAGGCGAGGAAGAAATATATGTGCTCAGCGGCTCTGAAGTGAGGCCTAATTGGAAACATTACGAGTCCATGAAATTTTTGAATGATTGTATGGTAGCACCACGGGCGTAAGTATTTTTCATATTATTATCTAACTATTTCTGTTTACATTTTTTTTTTCGCTGCAGTATAACCAGCATAATAGGAGTACAAGATATGCCAGCCTCTACGTCCACAAGTCCAGAACCTCAAATTCCAAAAAGTAATAACTAAATTAATTTAAAAATGAAATTTGAATATTTTATTCAGTATCTGATAAGATCTTATTAATGTTATCTATAGATATATATTTTTTATTAGGAACCAAAAGATTGAGACAAAGACTCGATGAAAGAGAAGAATCAACATCTGTTATCGTTGAGACAATAAGTTTACCTCCCCCACCAATTTCAATTCCTTCACCGACCATAAATCCGATATGCCAGCGGTTGTCTGAAATGTTAGGCACATTGAACGGAGAAGATCGCCTGGATCTTGAAATTGAATTATTGCAATTAGCAAAAAAATTTATTAATGAAAACAAAAAAAATTGAATAAACATTGAAATGACCCTTTTTTATTAATTTGTCCTTCTGAATATTTAAAAATGGATTTAGAATTTCTTTGTAGTTAAGTGTTTAATTGATAAAAGTAAAGTATTAAACGAATAATTAAGAATTTGTCACATTATAACAGACAACTGCACCATCAAACATAACGTGAGATGTTAAATAACTCCTCACTTTGGCCGCATTAAGAAAAGGAGTTATTATTTTAGGCAATGGATATCAAAGAAGTAGTGGATGTGAAAGATGTTTGTTTTAATACACACATTAATAATGAATATTTCCCAGAAGACGCACAGTTTAATCGCAAAACGTTCCTGAAGTTAATAGGTTGTCTGGTAATGGGTAACTTGATGACGCATCTGAGGTGCCTTATGGGGATTTGCATTATGTTAAGGCACCCCAGATGACGTCATAAACTTATGCTTTCAGTGAGACAGTGGCCCCATCTAAGATACAAATTTAGTCACTGTAAAATAGTCTGCCACCTATCGAACATTCGCAGAGAATGTGTGCAACTATCTCCTCGTCCTCCACGCATAGCCTGCACCCAGCATCGTCTGCCAGGCAAACCCTGTGCATTAGTGGTGTTTTAGCTTACAATGTCCAGTGTATAAACCTATTAGGGTTTTCAGCTTATTTCGTTACCCTCAAGGCCAGCGTGTCCAGGTTTCCACATTAGGGTTACCTTGTATTTTCCTTTCCTAACTTGCTTAGGGCTTCCTGACAACTCCAAATTGTTTTCGAATTTAAGCGTCTTCAGACTTCAGAGCGGCCTGGCTATCAGAACATATTTTTATAGTATTGTGATTTTAGAGTCGATCCTGCAGCCTCTCACAACCATTTCAATGGCATGCATTTCCACTTGAAAGATGGGTGCAGTTTGTTCCCTGGACTGATGGATAACCTAATTTTCGGTTTTGATCCCGCTCCCACCCCACCCACTGTCTGTCCATCCATCCACGAACCGACATAGATCTGCTTTTAGCTTTTAGTAGGGCATGCTCATTCTGCGCCCACTTTGGCTTCTTGGGAAAGGAGAAGCTCCATGGCTGACGTTGCCGTTGGCTGAAAGCTCCTGTTATTGCCAGATAGGTCTGTCTTTGTAGTCCGTTGAGCTTGGTTTGAGCAGTTCGCTATTGCCCCTTGTCCCACCATACTACTGAGCGTAGCTAACTTCCTGGTTCATTTTTGCCAGATGGAAGTTCCAGATAAACCTTTTATCTAGAGTAATTCCTAGATATATGACTTGGTTTGCAAAGGGTACTACCACCCCTTCCTTGTAAAGGACACTACAATTATTTTGTGAGGATTCATTGTCATATCTTCACTCTCGTACCATGCAAGTATTGTGTCTATCATTTCCTGAATGGTTTCGGAGTGTCTACATTCCGATTTTCCCCTTAATAAAATGTCGTCCACATAAGTCTGGTAGACCTGCCATAGCTGGATTATGACCAGCAAGTTGCCCACCAACAGAGACCACAGCTGTACTGTTTCCCGCTGTAGAATCGTTGTTATATGACCTGTTCTCAAGCATCTTGCGAATACAGTCACACAATAATTCCTCTGGAAATAGCTGATTTATAGAGGAAGTTATCAAGATTAAGAGTGTTGTTGAAGGCTCCCTATATGTCGATGAACGCTGCTAGCGCAATCTTGTTGTCAAGGGACTGCCTGATTTTTGTGACCACTTAGTTGGGGAACGAGCAACGTCTAGGATGCACGCTCTATAACACTCGCGAACAATCAGCTAAAAAAAATTAATTCTTATGCAAATTGACCTGACGGATCCGATTTTGGAGTTCGCCAGTCAATCTGGAATAGCGAAACTGGAATTTAGACCTTCGTTATCATGACTGATGCAACAGAAATGCGAAAATTAGTATATTATGCAATGATCATGTAATGATAGCCATTAATACACGAGCATGTTGTAGGATACGAAACGAGCCGCAGGCGAGTTTCGTATATAACATGCGACTCATGCGAGTGTATTAATGGCCATTACATGAGAGTTGCATACACTATTTTTTCTACTGCCATTGATAAAACTTCTGATTTTTAGATATGTCAACTTTGAATAGAGATTTTATAATTGAGTGATGCATCCATACAGTTGAAGGTTTCATTTTTTGTTGTAATTCTTTGAAATATACTATCAAAACATTTTTCGTAAATTTTCTTGGACTTGTAGGTACTATATAGGTATACTAAAATATACTACTGTATATTTATTACCTGCATTTGTCGCCCTTTATGTAATTTCTAGAGGTGTTAGTGAAAATTCTTCGTTATTACTCAATATTTCCATAATAATGCCTCATCCCAAACTTTAGGTAACTTTTAATAACAATTTGAAGTATTTTTTTTATAAAATTATTTTTTCCCTAAATTGCCATGGAAAAACTATAAACAGAGTGCTGTCAACATTCAAAAAAAAAATCCTAACTGCTGGCGCCATCTATTGACAATGTATGATAATGAAAAAAGTAAAAATTCTTCCTTATCACTCATCATTTCCGTAATAATTATTCTTTGTCCCAAACTTTTGATAACTTTTAAACAATTCGAAATCCTTTTTATAGTCATCAAAATAATTGTTTTACGCAAAATTACCGTTTAAAATGTTTAATATCTTAACTGGTGGTGCCATCTATCTACATTGTATGATATTAAAAATCAGTATTATAATGAAAATCTGTATCATAATAAAGTTCATTATGATACAGATTTCAATCGTTTAATAGCGTATTATGAAATGTCAGTAGAAAAAAAAGAATTACGAGTCATCGTAATCAGAGTGGCAAAAAAGTCGCGCATAATACTGTAACTTTTTAAATACCCCGTATACGAAAAAGTGACCTTAATGAAAGTTGCTCAGTAAATTATTTCCCACATTTCTACTTTCATGACTTCAACCGCGAACTATTTATCGCGTACAGTACAGGCGATGATGTCGGTTGCTAGGCAATCTGACGTCATGAAAGTACAATTCTAGTAGAATTCTACTTGTCGTGATCTCAGCCCTAAAAAAGTGGAACTCAAACGGATTTTTTAGAAAGATTCTTGAGAACATCGCAAATACTCTCTGAAAATTTGAACAAAATCGCTCAAGGCATTTTGAATTTAAAGGCAAAAAGTCAAAATTTTCCGAAAATTTCATCACTGTATTTTCTTAACGAGACGTTTGTGGACATATGTACAGTCATGAGCACAAAACGCGAGACCCCCTTCTGACAGGTTTTGTCATTTTTCGCTATTTTGCGTAAATCAGAGCTGGAACTCTGTAACGGATAGAGATCGTTATCCCTATCGCTATGGCACTTTCTGTCTTCTTCTCTCTTCTCGAAATCAATAGAGAGGGGACGTCAATAGAGATAGAGACTCTATTCGTTACAGAGTCCCAGCCCAGTCTTCTCCTACAATCAATTTTTTGTCAAATATGGCAATCCCTGTCATTGCCGTAGGTATAGCTGGTGAGCCCGTTTCACAATAAGAAAAAACGGGTGTCCCACTTTTTGTGCTCACGACGTCACCGAAAGTATCTGGGACAAAAATAATGCATAATAATCTCCTGGACTAACTCTACCGTCATTCATTTCAATGCATTTAATTCATAGTTTGACAATAAAATTCATAAATTGCCTGGCTAGCGAAACGGCGAACTCCAATAGAATTCGCTGCTTTGCCAAACTTAACGGAAACAATAATAAACAAGTTAGTGACTTTTTTTTTGCTATATGGGCATAGGTAGTATTTTGAAATAGAAACAAATCCGGCAACATTGCAAAATAATGGATGTAGAGAGGCGTGATTATTTTATTTTTTATTTTTTTTTATTTGTCAAACACATTGTGTTTATTACATTACAATCTAGTCAGTAAGACTAATTAGCAATTTTGTTTTAACCTAATTTACTATAAAGTTTACAATTCTTGAGGTTCACTCAACAGTTTTCCCCACTTTGCTTAAACTGTAAATCACAATTTTGATGTGTTTATAGCACTGTTTTGTTGTGTTTTTCAATTTCAGTTCACTAGCTCGAACGGCTTCACCCTTCTCAGTCTTCTAACTAGCTCAGTATTGTCTAGGAGCTCAATCACTTCCACATTCACATGCCGATGTAGTCTATCTTCATGGCTTTTTGCGTACTTTCTTATAGTCTCTGTTACAGTATCAATTCCTAGTTCCCGATGTAGATCACTATTTCGAACGTACCAAGGTGCATTAACAATGTTTCTTAGTACTTTATTTTGGAATCTTTGAATAACTTGTATGTTACTATCTTTAGTGCAACCCCAAAGTTGAATTCCATATGCCCATACTGGTTTCAGTATTTGCCTATAAAGTAATAACTTGTTATGTATGGTTAAATTGGACGTCCTTCCAATTAACCAGTACATTTTTCTATACTTAAATTCAAGCTCTTGCCTTTTTTTCTTAACATGTGCTTTCCAGCGCAATTTCGCATCAAGCGTCATACCAAGATATTTAGCTTGATTTGAATATGGTATAGGGGTGTCATTAATTGTGATTTGTATGTGATTTACGTTTTTGTTTGTAAAATCAACGTGAATTGATTTGGTTTCATTCAATTTTATTCGCCATTTTTTGGTCCAATTTTGAACTTCACTGACAGCGTTCTGCAGTTTTTCTGTTGATTTTTCAATACTTTTTTCCACTGTAATTAAACCAGTATCGTCGGCGAATGTTGCTAAATGACCATTTTCTGGTTTTGGGATGTCGCATGTAAATAATAAATATAAGTAGGGACCTAGCACGCTACCTGAGGTACACCTGCGGTACACCTGCTTTTATTTTTCGTAAATTTAACTCAAAATCTTCCTGTTTGACTCTGAAATGTCTATCACACATATGTGATTCCAAAATATAAGAATATTGTTTTGGCAGAAACAGCTTTAGTTTATAGTTTAAGCCTTCATGCCAAACTTTGTCAAATGCTTGCGCTACATTGAGGAAAACTGCGGAACAGACTTTTCACTCTTCCAGCAATTTTTCTATTAAATTCGTTATTCTGTGTACTTGGTCGATCGTAGAGTGCTTGTCGCGGAATCCAAATTGATGAGTTGGAATGATTTCCTGTCTTTCTATGATCGGTTTTATTTTTTTTAGCAGTATCTTTTCATAAAGCTTAGATAAAACGGGCAATAATGATATTGGCCTATAAGATGACACATCATGAGGTGGTTTTCCGGGTTTTGGTATCATGATTACTTCTGTAACTTTCCAAAGTTTAGGTACGTATTTAAGCCTAAAGGACGCATTGAAAAAGTTGCATAATTTCACAATAGCTTTCCTGGGGAGTTGTTTTATTACTTCCCCAGTAATTAGGTCATATCCTGGAGCTTTTTTCGGACTGATATTTTGTTTGATCTCTGTTAATATTTCTCTTAGTGAAGTAGGCTTAATGTTGCCTTCTTCTTGATAAGGTTCATTCCAGGGAAGATTCTCATCCTGTGCGACCTGTGCTTCGTTAGGCTGGAATGTCTTTTCTAAATGACTTGCAAAAAG